GATTTCACACTGAATATTGATACCAGTAACTTATGCCAGGTTTTATTAATTTAATTAGATTGAAAGTAATTTTTGTGTGCACATATACCAACTGACATCCAGAGATAATTTAAGTGCATCATTATTTTGTGATTATGCGCCCTTAAATTTCACAAATCTAACCTAGATTTGTTTTATTTGTGTTTCATTTGAGAATCAGTTGATTTTTGTATGTGAATTTTTCACCTGTTTTGTTTTTAACAACTGGGTTTTCCTCTTCTTTTTCTTGTTGCTATGCATAATAGGAGGTACAGTAATTTTGTGAATTCAACACAGTATTTTACTCTCCAACAGTATATTGTTCCCTGTGGGGAAATATCTGTGGTATAAAGTAGTTAGAAAAGGGCCAGGGAGGGATGAGGACTGGTAAAATGGTTTTAAAAAAATTTGTTTTCCTGTTATAAAATAATATAATCCAAGGCTTTGTGCAAATAGACACCGCAGCTGATATTTTTTATATCTATTTACAACATGTGCATCTTTAAACAAACCGGAATCTTGTGCTCTTTATCTATTGGGTGAATTTTTATCTTCGAATACGGTATTACCAGTTATTATATCGTTGACTACTGACATTACTACTGATTTGTGAAATGTAAAATTGAAGGTTTCAATAGCAGGATATCGTGTCTTTTTTGTTTGATAGTCATAAAATTATAAATTAATAGAAACTATCTATTGTAGGTAACCTAACATGGTAAACTAATAATATAAATAAACCAGGTATTGTAAGCTTACTAGCTAACCTAACATGGTAAACAGTGAAACCTAACCTGTTTAGATTTGTTGTGCAAAATAATTAAGTAAGCAAAGATGGTATTAAACTAAGTACCTGTAGATTTACAAACCAATCCTAAACTGTAAACTAACTAATTAAACCACTGTAGACTAACTAGTTAAACCACTGTAGACAGCTAGTTAAGCATAATACTTATAGACTAACTAGTAAACCACTATAGACTAACTAGTTAATTGACAGAAATTGAGAGATTTTCTTATTGTGTCCAATGGGGTGGCTTATACCAAAGGGAATATGAAACATAAAATTTACATAATATTGACCAGGTCATAAACAACCTATGCACTATTCTTGTCAACCTCAATAACCTTTGTAAATTGCATGTTATTAGTTTTTGTCTTAAAATTTTCCTTTTTCTTACTATCGTTAATTAATGTATTATTTTTGCTAACATATTACATACCACACAAGTAATTCTGTACCTACCTAGTACCACTTCTAGATACATAAACAATTGTCTATGATTTTATAAGCATTGCATGGTGCTTTAAGTTCATATGTAAACCCATTTTATTTCCATTACCTAAGGACGGAATCCAGACTCAACCACCTAAACCGGTAAGTAAACACCCCAGGTGTAAACAACACCCATCAAACCTTTCTTCCGGACTCAACATTTCTTACTTTCTTTTCCATTTTGCTTTGGGGTTTTGAGAGTGAACATTAAGGTTTTGTCTGTTTGGCATGACAAATTATTTCAGTTTGGTTGGATTCACAATTTCTTGGGCTAAGTTCTCATTTAATAAATAGATATACTTACTACTCATTGGATACAGTAACATTCATCCTAATAATGTTATTAATGATATTAATATACACTTTTGTAGGTAAACTTTCTTGTTTACTAAGGCAAAAGCATACTTTTTTACATACCACTTTTCACTGCAACTTCATCAAGATCATCTTTAGTATATTTACATTAAAACATACACACAGAAATGTTGAAATGAGGGGGTCCTAGATGCAATATGATTATACAGATAAATAAGTATTCAATAATTGTATAATTGATGTTAGAAATATTGTAACATTAATCTTTGTATGCCATGGTAGTGACAAAATAGAATGAACATGCCCCTCCCTAAATCCACCCCTGCATTCATTTACTCAGATAAGATATACAATAGAATAGTGTACCACAGCTTCCAATAAAAAATAATCAGGTGTTACATATATATTTATGTTTATTTGTAATAAATTTACTTCTCAAATAAAGTAAATATGTACACAATAAGTAGATTTAATTTAAAACATTTTTTACAGATTATACATATGAAAACTTTTTATTTATACATTACTAATATCATTAGATGATTAGACAGGTAGCACCAAACTTCAAAATAACTACTACTTATTTATTTTTTATTATATTATTTAGTTACTTTTTTTACATATTACTAATATCATTTAATTTATTAGAAGATTTCAAATTTGTTTAGTAATGAGAAGACAACATTTGATTTCATATATAGACCATATGCATGTAAACTATAAATTTGCATATTATAATGCAGAACCTTATTCCTGGCAATAATGCATTACGTAGTATAATGTCATAATTTGTATATTCAAATACAAACCTCATGTTTTTGTATGTGTGTGCATTGTAATGCATCATTATGTTGGGTCTGTTTTGAAACAGTGCTGCCAACATCTCGCAACCTTTCACTGTGTGACTTTCAGTAGCCTAGCCTGAGCAGCTAGCTAGTTGTAATAGAGCACCACACAGCCGATAGCGCCGCTAGGCCAAGACCTAAGATATAGCAGCAGTTGACATCAGATACGGTCTTTTGCTAATTAGTATAGGCCTATGCACACATAAAATTGGCTCTTTAAGACTTAGGCTTGTTTAAATATCAACATTCCGTTTTTCATCCATTTTAAAATATTTCTGCTCGTTAGTAATTTAGTTTTATCATTTAATTAAATCCATTGTAGTAAATGCTAGGCATATGGAAATCTCCCAGTGGTGGTTGCCAGGTTCTCTGAAGTTTTCATTTGAAATTTAGCGAAAATTGTGTATGCTGAATTGATTGTTCACTTTTTTGAGTAGTAGTACAATAACATTTGCATATTAAAATACAGAACACATGTAACACATGATTATATCCAAAACATTTATAACAGCATATAATTTCTGCGAAGCAGCCGATTCATATTTTTGACAGCAATTTGACCTCTGAAAGGTCATTGTTTGTCAAAAAACAAGGGCCTAAGACGACTGAAAAGCGGAGTTTCCTTCTTTTGTTCTGCCGGGTAAAATCAATTACTTTAGGCGACGTTTGTAGACTAACCAACACGTACGAACGTCCGCATGTCTTATCCTACTCTAGGCCTAGACTAGCTAGGATGGTATAGGCCTAGCCTTGAAGGGACGAAGGTCCCAATGAAAAACAACGTCGCTCCTTGATAGCTAACATTGTCTATTTAACATCACAATAATTCATTATTAGACCTATAGTTGTTTTTTGAATTGTACTCCACAAACCTCAGCCAATACCTCGCACAACTCGAGTAACGTCTCGTATCTATTGTCGTGACGTCATGGCTCGCTGGCTCACACTTGCGATGTCTCGCACTTGTGATCAAATAACACGCTGGCTCGCACTTTGGCTACACTCTTTGGCAACACTCTTTGGCACTCAACTCGCCCCTAGAAAACCTGCCCTTGAAAACTTGCCCCATAAAAAAATGTACAAAATCCACATACATAGAAATTTTTGAAACTTTATTAAAAAAAACCTAAACCATAATTCACCACTATAGACATTTTTTGACAAAAATGAAAAATTACGACTTCGTTACCCAATGAGAAGTGTTCTAATATAGACAATGGGTCGTGTCTCATATTATTTGTTATATTTTTACTATTCATTATTATCACTTGATTCGCATAAATAATTTTGTTCGAAGAACATTTATATGCAGTTGTACTTCGCAGCACTTCACTTGCAATCTGCAATTTCTAGTTGCTGCCGTAGTTTTGTTTTGGTATTTTATTTTAGTGATTTCCAAAAGTTAATAAACTTATTAATAAAATTACAGTAGTAGAAAGTTGTGAGGCGATGTTGTTGCAGTCAATGATCAAAGTATCGTAATTGAAAAAGCAGTTACTGTATATTAAAGGTGTTTTTTTATATATAGGATTAAATGTAAATGATTATTATAATAAATATAAGTTATGCTTAAATTGATATTGTAAGTCACTAGAGCACATAAAACTGATTTCTCTGAATACACTCGTGTGCATGTTAATGATTTCCCCCCAATTCTAAAACATAGTATGTGGTACAGTAATTGGTGGCGTAACCAGGGAGTTTTAGGGTGACTGAGCCCTCCCCCTCCTATTTTTTGTTCAAACATGGAAAAATTTATAGTAAATTGATGGATATAACGGCAAAGTAAAGTACTTTGAATGGTCAGAGCCAATTTATGGTGTAGTCATATCCATCGATATGTTCCGTCCCTAGTTTTGTGTGTTGCATAAATTTCAGTGGATGTAATATTCCCATTCAGTACTCCCATGTTAAAATCCTGGATAAGCCACTTATAGCACCACTGGTAGGAGTGCTATTTGCTTTCATTCAAGTGGTGGTGAGATCCTGGTTGGTCACTTTAGTTGTGTCTGTTGGCATATCATTTTATCTACAATTGTCTTTCTATGCATTCAGGAACATTTGAAATGGTTACCTAGTAAGGAAGTATTTTTGAATGATATTCTCCTGTAAATAAATTAACAACTCAGCTTAGAATAACCTCTAGGGAATAGAAAAGATCGCACAGTGAATCATTGCTTCTATATCAAATTAATGGGGATAGGGGAGGGAGGCGGAGAAGCAACACAGGGGAATCTGCTAAGATCTATAAGGAAGAATATAAATGCTATTATGTATGTATTACGTATGCAAGTATGTATACATATATGTGTAACAATTTCTCTTTTATATGTATTTTGGTTACATCTTTATTGACGTTTACCTTTTTTCAGTGAAATGACAAATACTGTAGTATACCGTAAACCCTGTGTTTTTTGTGGTAGTTGATAATTATGATAGTTATTGCCTTATGATTTTAAAACTCTGTTCGATGTATTTTACTGAATGATTTTGCACATTGATTTGGAACATTTTTTTAGCAGTGGGGACTTTTTTAGGACCTAATAGCATGTTTTTTTTTTTTTTCAAATGAAAGTAGTTTGTAGTATTTTATTTGAGTAATAATATTTGTTGTACTTATATATTTTTTGGTAGATTTATACTGTAGCTTGGTGAAAATTTATTTTTGATATTTACTTTCTGGTGAATTTGGAATTTAGTATTAATTTTCATCCGGATCATTACAATTTAAATGTATATGGAAATACCTTGTCATTTATGAAATTTGATATATATGTTTACTGTAGAGGTGTATGTAGCATAATTTATATTAGTGATAAAATACATTTTTATATGTGTTTTTGTACAGTATATGGCAATCTGAATATTATTTTCTTTTATATTTATTATATTCTAGGTGTGGATATTATAGTTGGTTATATATTTTTATTGACTTGACTATATAATATTATGTTGAACATATATACTATACATATATTTATTTATATATGTTCTTGTACAGTACTAAAATATGGCAATCTCAAAATGTTTATGTTCCTTTTATATTTATTATAGCCTAATTGTTGTTACATTAAATGATTTTACCTTTGTTGTTTGTTAATAACATTTTTTATGATACTAAACAACCTCTCAAAAAATAACATCATTCCATTCATTCTAACATTTTCATTCATTGACTAAACCATTTGTTCCAAACACCCTTTCTAACAAATATATATATATATATATATATATATATATATATATATATATATTTTTTGCAAGGAAG